TAACCACATTCTTGGTAAAGCTGGGTGGGAAACAGATCATTAAGATGATATCATAAAGTGATCACCGAATCACGTTCGAAAGAAGAGTTCCTCACCAATCCGCGTGATGGGAAGAGACAAGCCTTTCTTTTCATGCGAAGCCATGAGAAAATAAATATAACAATATTTTAAGATTTGAAGGACACCCTCTATAAATGCATCACATTTTGTTAAGTGGCATTAAAAAAAAATGGTCTTATGTAGGCTTATCATCACTCTCATTGAATAATCAAACACTGAATCTCATCGTCCTGCGTGCAGTGAAGTTTCCTCTTTGATAACACAAACATTGTCAAATCTGATCACGTTTCAATGACATCTCAGCCGACATACTCACTTAGAGATCGAGTAATTTACACGATATTTGTTGTTGCAATTTCAAAAAATACATGTGATTTGGCTTTTCCGGAAGATTTTTATTCCAAATTACGATTTTTGTGAGCAGGCCATGCTAAATCTCTGTGTATGTCGATATTATAAAATACGCAGGTTTCCCTATGACGTCACACCATATGATAAACATACTTTCGATAGCTAGGCTCGCACCAGGATATTGTGAGCGTTTGACAAGACAATTAAAAGTAGCCACAAATTATGACCAGAACTGGTTGATGCTCAGGATCTGAAAATTTGATTCGAAATTCAGTCCCGGTCCAACCAGTTTGATTGCGCAATGATGGTGCAGTTTCATTTTTCAAAAGTCATACGAAAGGATGTAGTCATACTGAATACGGAAAGACAAATTTTACTTTTCTCGACTAACTGAAAACTGGGATTGGACTTGGGGTTTCCATAAAAATGCAAAAAAACAACTCGGCCAATATCCGGTCATCTTGTCCTCACGCTTGGTTAATAACGCATACATACAGCCCGATCTTCAGAAGAATATATTACTAAGTATGGATACATCATTTTACCATGTTTTTATCTAATCATCATCATCATAATTTTTTTTCGCCTCTAAAAATTTTGGTTATAGCCAGAGAACAATGTCAATTAGTATGAGTCAATGAACTTTTTATTTGAAGAAAAAAGCTGCAAACGAAGGTACGGAGCCTAATCAAATGCATCTTTTTTCCTTTTTCTTTTTTTTTTTTTCAAAATCTTTCTTTACAGTTTTGCTTTCTTTGTATCACATCTTTTATTATTTCTCTAAAGCCTGAGGAGATTTTTAATCTTTCTATCATAATTATTGAAACTTATCTTTACATTTGTGACATTAAAAGACTTGGATCCCACTATTAGAAGGTTAAAGAGGCAGGTGGGAAATGTCGAATTTGTAAACGAAAAAGAACTATTACAAATTTCCTCTTGTAAAGGGAACGCATAGATGGCAAAGAACGCATTGATGATGTCATTCCGCTATATTTTTTTGTATTATCGATGATTTCGTTAACAACTGGTCTCTTTCCTAATGTAAACATTGAATTTAGGATGCTGGTACTAAAGCTTAAATTTACCAACGCCTATATATATTGCAGATGTTCACCTGCAAAGGAAATGATTAACCACAAAGAACGCATCGACAATATCAGTTATATTAATTTTGTACTACTGGTGATGAACTAGCCTCTGTCCGTTCGTGAACATTGAAATTTGTTTTTTCTGTCATTCAATTTTTCCAAGCTGTTATCCGATGGCCTCACAAAATTTTAGACATGTTAAAATGACGTTAAGACCACTTTTCACATGGTTCTTAAACAATATTTACCAGTCACTTTTGTTATGCTAAAAAAGTCAATGGCAGTAATAGGGAGCTAAGGTGCAAAATAAAAAAAAAAGCTTATAATTACCAAAACATATTGAACACCGACTCTCACGGGAAAAAAACACAAGGGTTGTTCGCTTGATTCAGATCGAGGATGTGACTGCTCTTCGCGTCTTGAGAAAAATGTAAACACCTGGAAGTTCATATATCTGAATTTTCTGTCGTGTGAATAATACTTTGAACTGGGAAGAGTGAACACACAGGGACCAGCAGCCGACAAATAATAAGAAAAAATTATTATTTATTCTTTTTGTCTTCCTATGTTAAAGGAAGGGAAAACATCTTTTCAGAAAAAGAATTCGTTACTTTAAGACCCAAATATTAGGGCTTCAGCAAAGATCAACTTATCGTCGAAGTGCCAGGGCTTTCCGTCACCTTATTCACAAGCTAATTAGCATTTTGCTCAAGACAAAATCATGGACTTAATTGAAAATGAATAATTTTTCCATGATGTTTCAGTCATTTAAGCGCCATCTTTGATTTATTTTTGGCAGTGTAAGCTTTCGTTGAATCCAGATGGTCAATTTTTCTGTTAAAGATCGAGTAAAACACCTTCGTCAAAGATGATCAACGGAAACTTGAGCATCGCTAGGAATTCAGCTGACAAGAGACTCCAATTTCAAGCGAACGCATCGTCATATGGAAATATAGTAGTTATAAACTGCGTTATAAACGGGCCAATGATGCTTGTCTCCATTCTAGGAAACTGTTTGGTCTCCATCGCCATATGGAAGACATCGTTTCTTCGATCTCCTTCCACAATGTTCCTATTCAGTTTGGCTATTTCTGACCTACTGGTTGGTTTAATAGTTCAACCAGTTTATATCGCCAATTCACTAACAAACGTATATTTTCTAGAAATCCTTACAGCCTTGATGGCGTTTGCTGCATGCGGCGTCTCGCTCGGCACAATGGCCGCCATTAGCCTTGATCGTTTCTTGGCCCTCCATTATCATTTACGATACAACGCATTGATGACTTCGTTTCGTGCTACATTGGCGTTATTGAGCACATGGGTGACAACTTTCCTTCTATCGTGCTTGATATTTTGGGACTCTTCGATTTACCTAGCTGCTACAGCCATTTTAATAAGTGCGTATCTGATAACCTCTGCTAATTTTTACGCTAGAATTTATCAGATTGTTCTCTGGGATCGCGCGCGGATTCAGCATCAAGAACCTGGCAATCAAGAGCTTTCAGTCGGACAACTGTCTCGTCAGAAAGGTTTAATCAGAAGCGCCTTCAGCTCGTTTGTATTTTATATCTGTACTGTTATGTGTTATTTACCAAGATTTATATCGTTACCACTCACAGATCCTAGCACTTACAAGAACACAGCTTGGGTCATGACAGATACCTTGATATTTTTTAACTCAGCTTTAAATCCTCTTTTATATTGCTGGCATCTACCTGATCTCCGCGCTGCAGTTTTTAAAGTAGGGAGGGAGTTTTTCGGTATGAAAAACTAATGGAAAAAGATCATAACAATTCTGCTTTGGATGCATTCCCAAAGTGATGAAGACTGCAAAATAAGGTGTCGTTGATTCTGAACTAATTTTTTTTTACTTAACTATTAATTCATTCATTTTTTTATGATATTCTATAGTAAATTTTACATCCCAAAATAACGCAATATAGACGAGGCAAGGAAGGGTTGATGAGGAAGATATAATCCCTTAAAACAAATGTGTGAGGGCAAAACCACTTTGCTTTCAGGTGCAAAAAGTATCCCTTGAGCATTTTGTTGCTGTCGCTACGGTGGCAGTCTGCACAATTTTGAAGTGTATCGTTCCACTAAGGTTTTTGGCTCATTCTTTCATTCTGTAAAATGTCGAAATTGTTTTGGAAACAGAACCAACCAAAAATAAAACAAAGTGAGAACGATTTGGGCTACTATATTCCGTTTAGGATGTATCTATGAAAAGTTACTCTCACCTGTCTTATTTGTCAAATGGTGAGATCGAATAAGTTTGAATCATATGCGTGGCCAGTTCACCATCTCGACTTCGTCGAAATCTATGGAAAACATCACACATTTCGACTTGAATTTCTCATGGCCGAAGTAAACGCTACTAACAAGGCGCGTTTTTTGGAACGGAAGACACACCTAAAGCTACTTTCAATGACTAGTTTGTTATTTACTCCAACACCAAGTCTTTTTTTCAGCCATTTGTTCCGCTAACTTATCTGCTCTTCAAGGGCAGAGAGAGAGAGAAAGATCTACAAAGATGACACTTTTAGTTGTTATACGTTCGAGATCCACACGAAAGATTGGTGCTTACACACAAATAATTTAAACTTCGACTGAGTTTATTCTACTGAAAACTCCGTCTTTCATTAAAATCTTCGCCGTAAATGTATGCATGCATGCTTAGCTAGTCAACTTCATTCGTACCACACCCGCTGGCTGATGCATACTCAAAGATTGGAAGGGTGGAATAGTTGCTCAGCACGTGCGTTTTAAAACTAGATGCATTTCTCAGCTGTCGTCAACAAACAGCGACGTGAAGTCACCACAATACTCCTTGTCTAGAAGCGTTTTCACCGAATTGAAGAGAAATTATCAAAGTCTCCATGTGGAGTAAATGTTACTCATACGCTACCCTTAAGTCCAGGCGTTCCGCCGCAAGAAACGACAAACGAGTCCGCAAAAATCTAACTAAAAATGTATATTCATTTTT